CACACTGAGTCTCCAGTTTGCGTACATTTGTCTACAAGTAAAAAAATACATTACAGTAACGCTGTTGTTCACAATTTTAAGAATTTCGTCAAAGAACTTGTTTCACTACAGTTTCACTTACCTGATTATACCATATTATGCTCAGGGCTGTCCGAGGAGGGCGAGGCAGAACGGAGAGACCGGCGCAGCGCGTCAAACACGGTATTGTTGATTTTTACACCATGAGGGTGAAGGTGTTTACTCATATTCGTAGTGCAGCCTCCCGTACAAGAACAAAGTGTCTCACAGGTGTCAGCCGGGCTTTTTCCAGGTAAAATAAAGCCACGCTGGACAGCGCCACTTTTCCAAACGACTACAGTGGAATTGTATTGGTTCCATGGCTTGAAGCATGCGGCCACTGACCAAGCTGGCGCATATGATGCGTTGGGAGTGAGTCATTACACTGGCAGCGATATAGCTCTATATTTTAATTTGTTTGTTTTTATACAACAAACAGGTAAATATATTCATTTACAAAGTACACAGTGACGATGGGAGTCCTGCCGCCAAAAGTAACGTAGCTTTATGACACGCTGATGACATCTGATGTGGATATTCCACCTCAGCATCTGCTTCCAGGTGTTTCCAGGTGTTTCCAGGTGTTTCCAGGTGTTTGGGAGTGATGTTCTTTGAGTCAGTGTTGGGTGAAGACCACAAGTTTGAAACTAATACAAATGTGTTGGTGTGGAGTTAGCATTAGCCGCTACTAGCAAAACACACCCCAGTCTCAGACTGAAGTGTTGAGTTGCATTGTGGATAATGTAGGCGCCCAGTTGAAAGAGGTCATATTCTGCTTTTTGTATTTTCCCCTTTCCTGTATTGAGTTTTATATCTTTTATGTGCATGTAACAGGTTTGCAAAGTGAAAAAGCCCAAAGGGAGTTCCCATCTCCCACAGAAAACTCTGCTCTGAACTGATAACAACTACAAACAGCTCATTTGTAGTGCAGCCGCTTCCCTTTCATACCTGTGACGACACAGGGATGAAAGCTAAATGCGCCTCACATAACGCTCGCCAAGCGGCTACTCCGACACGCCCTCAAAAACAGCGGTGGAAAAACAGCACACAGTTGATCATGTAGAGACGTGATGTATCACCCCATAGGTTAAACGAAGCCTTCCACACAGAGTGAAAGAGGAGCTGCAGCAACGCGCAGTATGACAAAAAATATGGTGTTGTTTGAAAAATAAACCACGTAAACCTGCTCTGGTACAACCTCTGAACACCTCCTCTTTAACAAGGAAAAAGACTGTGTCGACGTCAAACCGTCGAAGAAGTATTTCACTCCTTCAACTGTTCTAACTGTACAGCTGAAGACAAACATTGTAACTTGGAGATCACATCATACTGACGACCGAACCGTCAGTTCTGATTGGTTCTGTTGATCCGGGCGGGTCAAAGGTTCACCGCTTCCAGAGCGGGACTGGAGAGGATAAAGAGAAACGTGAGGTTGTGCTGCCAGAAACTTGAGAGGCAGCTTTTAGGATGAATTGTATGCCAAACACACACAAACACGCACACACAAAGCTACTTACTCTACAAGCTGAATGAAATGAGCGGATCAGGAGAGATCGTGGGTAGACCAAGAGAAGTCTACACTCCCCGAGAGAGAGAGAGAGAGGGGGGGGGGGCTCTGCTGTCTCAGTGTTAAACAGTGCTTGGAAAGAGAGAGAGAGGGGGGGGGGGGGGGACTCTGCTGTCTCAGTGTTAAACAGTGCTTGGAAAGAGAGAGAGAGGGGGGGGGGGGACTCTGCTGTCTCAGTGTTAAACAGTGCTTGGAAAGAGAGAGAGAGGGGGGGGGGGACTCTGCTGTCTCAGTGTGTGTTAAACAGTGCTTGGAAAGAGAGAGAGAGAGAGAGGGGGGGGGGGGGGCTCTGCTGTCTCAGTGTTAAACAGTGCTTGGAAAGAGAGAGAGAGAGAGAGGGGGGGGGGGGGGGACTCTGCTGTCTCAGTGTTAAACAGTGCTTGGAAAGAGAGAGAGAGAGAGAGAGAGAGAGGGGGGGGGGACTCTGCTGTCTCAGTGTTAAACAGTGCTTGGAAAGAGAGAGACAGAGAGACAGAGAGAGAGGGGGGGGGGGGGACTCTGCTGTCTCAGTGTTAAACAGTGCTTGGAAAGAGAGAGAGAGAGAGACAGAGAGAGAGAGGGGGGGGGGACTATGCTGTCTCAGTGTGTGTTAAACAGTGCTTGGAAAGAGAGAGAGAGAGAGAGAGAGAGAGCTCGGTATGTGAACCGTGTTGCTGCTTCTAGTTTTTCCATTAGTGGGAAAAAGGAGTTTGCTGCTTTTTGATGTTGCGTCCAAATGTTCCTGAAATTTCATGCCGAACAGCTTTAATGGCTGCAGAAGGTTTAGTCTCCGTCTCTCCGTCTCTCTGTCTCGCACACACACAAAACACAAAACACACACAAGGAGTCGAAAAGGGTTTGACTTGAACAGAGGCGTATGCTTTATGTGCGTTACGTTCAACACTCCTTAAACCTGACAGCAGAACATGCACAATGAAGAAGGTGGACAGTCACAGTTAGAGACAGGATCAGTGACGTGTTAATGAGCTCAGGGTAGAAACAGGATCTGCTGCACTTTACTCGTGAACTTCAGCAGGAGCAACAGTAGAAGAAACAGTAAACTGCGATTGATCTTCCCTGCCGTGGTGGTTCCCAGCGGCCTCGCTGCGTTTTGATTGGATAGATTTTTAGGCGGAGTCACCAAACATATTTAAAGATGGATTTTGATTTTTTACATCAACCAACAGAATTTTTTATTAAAACGCCCATATGAGTTGTTTGTACAACCACGCTATTACGACCCGTCTGTACGTTTGTTGTGGCTGTGATCTCCAGGGGCCACACAACGGTAGCAAAGGAGGATGTAGGGTAGTTTACTGTAAATGGCGACAAAGTAAGAAGGTAGGATGGGGTGGTTGGATAGGTGAAGCTTTCACGCAGGGTAACGGCGTGCGAGTGGAGTTTTAACATACTGACTTCCGTGAGTTTTGTAATGTACTCACATCAACCCAAAACAATGTTTTTCACAACGTTTACCGCATGTTTAATGTCATGTGACTTACGCAGCTTAGTTATTACATTTATAGGCGCCTTTCAGAGCATTTGCCCGTAAACCTTAAAGAAGTTAAGGTCCGGTCGCCTAGTGTCGTTTTGGATAAACTACCTATTTTTGTCGTTAAGGTTGGAGGACAGGTTGAACCATGTGCTGATATGACTGTTCAGGATTAACACTGCTGTCTGTTTCCCTCAGTGCATTCAGAAGATGTGTTCTCTCTATTACTATTTCAAGCTTTATTTTATGATTTTACTACTTTTTTCCCCAACAAGTTTGATTCACTGGTTTTAACAACTGATTCTGTAAAAGTTTCAGCCTACTTGACTCCCAGGCAACATTACAGAAGTCGGAAAGTATATCTAGAAAGTGAAAATACCCAGAAATGAACTTACTAACATGCTCTCTGTTGGGAACAGAAGCTGCTGAGAAGTTATAGAAGTGACTTTAGGGTTGCAAACTGCCAGACGTGTTGGTGAAATGTGTCTGAATGTGGGGAAGTGGAAACATGTTGTGACAGCAGGCAGCTCTTCATGGATAAGTAAGGGTTAAAACACATGCCGCCGTTTATGACGTCTCCAGTGCGTTGGCTGTGGTTTTGGCTGTGGCAAAGGCCGAGCCAGAGATCAACGGAGGCCATTGTTACCCCGAGCGAGAGACGAACCATTCTTTCCACTTTCCATTTCAGCTCTTGTCTGTTATTATTTTTTGTGAGGGACGGCCCCCGTCTTTCCAGCTGTGATAGAAGATGATGAACATGTTTTTATGTTTGGAGTGAAAAATCGGAAAACAAATCCAGCTCCATCAGCGGTTACTTTCTCTGACAAACCGACCTTTTCTGTGTGTCTCTTTTTCTTTGATTGACCTGGTATTACCAAAAAACTCCTAGAGAGAGAGGATCTTAAACACAGCACCACATTAACTTGACTTTTACGGCTCAGTATTGAGTCTCAGCAGTAACGTTAACAAAGGAAAATCCACGTGAGGACAATATAACCCAATACACGAGAGCACTGGTTGTCTTGAGGGTCGGTACACTCTGCACCTCCTCTACACATTTTGTAGTGCACAGATATTTAAATATTACTATAGTTTTGGAGGATTATTTGAAACAGCTTAACTCTCACTGGTATTTCATGCTGATGAAACACCAGAGATCTGATTATCAAGGTTGACTCATCGATCTGTCCTCTCTGCTCAATCTTTTATTTATTAAGGTGACTTTTTCTCGATCTAACCGGCAAGATTATTCTGCATGTGCATGTTTTGTTGTGCCGCAGTTGGTGTGTTGTAAAAACGTACAGAAGTGGGACGTGGCTCGTGGTGACTCGGTGGAAGTGAACATTCTCAGTCCACTTCTGTCTGAACCGATCGATCTGCTCTCGGTTGACTGATTGATAGACTGATTCCGCTCTGGGCTGCTGAACTTTTAGCTAACTGCACGACTTGTCTTGTCCCGTTTCGTCTTTGTTTGCTCCTGATTCCTGGAGTGTGATCTAAAAAAGATAATTCCTAATGATTTTGTCCCCTTAAAGAAAACCTTGTTTGTCTCCTGAATCCTAAAGGTCCTTGTAACCTTCTTGAAAACTTTTGTTTTCATCTTCTTTGTCCTTGACTCTTCGGTAGTCGTAAAGGATGCCCCGCACAGCCGACTGCACTGTGTTTGTCCTTGATATCTGTCCACTTGCCTCCTGATTTCTAATGGTAGTGGGTGTTTGCCTCCTTTGCCTACGACCTCTTGTCTACAACCCTTTGAATGGGTCCTATCCTCCTGTCCTCTGTTGTCCTTGTCCTTGTCTACTAGCATCTTGTCTTCTGAGTGATGTTACCCTACTTTTAACAGCTTCGGTGGAGGTTGTCCCTTTTTGAAAGTTCATGAATGTATCATCCTGCCATCACCTTCAGTGCTGGGCTGCATCCCGACAAACTGTAACATGGAGCTGACGGAGTCCAAGGGGGAATTCACGTCGCCCTGCTACCCCCAGGTATACCCCAATTCGCAGGCCTGTAGGTGGACCATGAGGGCCCCCGCCGGCTTCATCATCCAACTCTCCTTCCTTCACTTTGAGCTGGAGGAGGCGCCGGGCTGCATCTACGACCGGGTGGTGGTGAACACGGGAAAGACAGACGTTAGATTCTGTGGTCTGACGGCCAACGGGCTGACGCTGAACTCCACAGGGGACGTGATGGAGCTGTCCTTTACCTCCGACTTCAGCGTGCAGAAGAGGGGGTTCAGGGTTAGCTTCCAACACGGTAGGTTCAGGCTGACACCAGGACCCTGTTCTTCAGAGGGTGGGTAAACCGATCCGGCCTATCACGCTGTTATCAGAGTGATCCTGGCAGTTTGAGGGACGGTTAAGTCTTACTTTGAGATAAAGGCAACATGGGTAAAGAGTTGAATAACTGATTTAAAGTGCCGATCCTGTGATTGCACTTAGATGATGCAGGTGTGTAGAGGAGCCTCCAAGGATGCAGCTGGGGATTACAATCATAAACCTAAGTCTAACTTCTCATGTAGAATCAAAATTTTATAAAACAAAAAGTGAATGCTTTGCTTCTAAAAACATGTTGCTGTCGATTTAACTGAGCTGCTGTCTCTGCGACACAAACATAAGATATAATTCTCTTTGCAAAATAAACTTTGATCTGTAGGTGAAAGCTAATATTTGTTGCTGCCACCTGACTTTGTCTTTTTATTGGACAGTTAAATGTTGTACAGCAGCACTGCGTCTGTGGGCAGAATGGGATGAATCATTTAAGATTTATTACAGTGAGGCCTATCTGTTGACTGCGTCTCACTCTGAACACGGTGGAAATCTCAGAAAAGGCAAGTTAACTGATTTTCTCACAAAATAAGTATTTAGTTTGAACTGAGGAAGGTTTCAGTCAGAGGTCGTTTTTGGCTTTTTGTGTAGCTCTTCTGCTGCCAAGGTGCCAAAAAGAAAAACTTAACGCAGCTTTAATTTAAGTTTGAAGCCACAGAGATCAGTGGTTTCTGCACGGCAGACAGCGAGGGGATCAGCATCACACAGTCTGAGGTATCGACCCACCAAAGGAAGACTTGGCCGCTCTCACGGCGGTGTCGCTGTGGAGTTTTGGTGCATCTGCGTGTGTGTGTGTGTGTGTGTGTGTGGTGTTTTTCCATTGCACACTGGCTGTTGGTTTGTTGCTCTCGGCCAGCAGCTCCAGCCAGAGTCGTTCTGCTGGGAAAAGCTTTGAGACGTGAAATTTCTAAAAGACAAACTCTCTGATTCATCAGTACTCGGGGGGTGAAGTGTGTGTTCAGGGTAGAACAGTGTGAAACACTTTTTCTATCTGTATGTTTTGAGATTCAGTCAAACTTTCATCAAAAAGGTTTCAAATGTTTCTTTAGATTTAAAGTGCACTTTATAAAACAGAAATGAAAAGTTTCTCTAATTTAGACGATTAGTTGAAATAAAATATTTCCCTTCTTGTTATGATGGATTTTCACTCCCCCTCTCTCACTTTCTTTCCTCCTCACTTCCTTACTTATTTATCTCCTCCTTTGTTCTTTTCTTTCTTTTCATGCTTTTTATTCGTTCTGCCCCTTAAACTCCTTTCTTCCTTCCTATTTTTGCTTTTTATTTCTTCTCTCTTTCTTTGCTGTGTTGCTTATTTCCTACATTTCTGCCTTCGTTATTTTTTCCTTTCTTTGCTCATTCTTCCTCTTTTCTTGATTTTCTCCTAACTTTTCCTGTCCTTATTTTTTGCTTACACTCCTTGTTTCCTTTCTTCCTTGCCTGCTTCCCTTTCTGTGTTTCTGTCCTTCTCTCCTTCCTGACTCCACGTACTTTCTTTGTCTTTTTCTTTACTCTTCTTCTTTGGCTTCTGTCCTTTCTTCCATCCTTCCACCCTCTTTTCCTTTCTTCACTTCTTCCACCTCTCCTTTCTAGTTGCCGTGGCCCTGAGGAACCAGAAGGTCAGCATTTCCAGCGGCAAAGGCCAGATCACTAGGGTTGCCAGCTCCATTTCTATACCGACGCTCAGTCAGCTGACCGTGTGCTTTGAGCTGCAACGCAGCAGTCAGAAACAGGTACGCAAAACAAAGGTCTACAGGGAGGGTGATGAGTTCTACACATGACCACAGTTTGTGGTTCATTAAAGCTCCTGAAAACTGAAAGTATTTCTCTGTAACATCAAAACATATGTTCTCAATCAGCTTCTGCCTATGAGGGACGGGCTCCCACAGAGTTTCTGTATTTCTTGTTTTCTCCGACCGCTTCTCACCAAGTGGGCAGGACTCACTTGGAAAAAGAGCATGTTCCATGTTTCCATGCACCAATCAGTAGTAGCATCTGATGACTGGATTGTTGTTTCTCAAATCTGATGAAACCACACCCACACTCCTCGAGAGGCAGGTAAAGTGTTTATTCAAGATACGCCACTGTCCTGTTTCCCAGCTTCGACACATCTTAACTGTGCATAAGAATATGAATACGTTACCTCCCCGCATCAACTCACCCAGAAGAGCTTCCTCTGACTGCTTCTGCCTGTGCGGTGACATGATGCTCAGCGACACGGTGCCCTGTGGAAAAATTAAAAGACTCTAATTTAAATCCGAGCAGAACAACGTGATCAGGTCCTCCGTGTTAATATTAACACAAGATGGTGAACAGTTCTTTTTTGGAAATGACTTAAAGCTTAAATGTCAGTGGCTACACCAGCAGGTGAAGCTGCTGTTTGTGATTTCTGAAATGACAGTATATCCACTTGTGGTATTTTGCCTTAAGCTCATTATTAAGAATTATGTTGGTTCCTGAACAGAAAGAGTCGATCTTCACCTACTATGACATTAACAACAACGTGGCGCTGAGTTTGGGCTCTGATGTAACCGGAACGAAGATGGTTGTTGGCGGAGTGGAATGCTCGATCGAGTCCATCATGTCCACCACTGTCTTCACTTCCACCATGAAGCCTTTCTGTGTGCTCTGGACATCGTCAAACGGCCGGGTGGCGGTCTATTTCAATAACGAGTTCTGGGCCAAGACCTGCGCCTCCTCTACGGGGCTCTCTGTGGCAGCTGGTGGAGTGTTCCAGTTAGGAGGTGAGGAGTTTTACCATTTAAGCTTTTACAGGAGACCAATTAAACTGCTTTTCCAGGTCTATATTGTAGTTCTGTGACTCCTGTATGGCAGATTTGCATGATTCAAATTAAATTTTTCTGTCTTATACTGGCTCTCCATGTAGGCCTTCATTTCAGCCTCTGTCTGAAACAAGCTCCTGTCTCTTTAGGGCCCCTCCCCCTCTCAAAGCCCACTGTCTTCTGATTGGCCAAGACCTGAAGCGTGTTGCCAGGCTGTTGTTGCCGCTGAGCGGTACAGACAGACTGAGCAAATGACCATATATGGAACTCCGTAATACGTAGAAGCAGTTCAAAACAGAGCGAACAGAACAGGAGGAAATCTGAGGTTTTGGCTCACAGGAATTTCTTTTAAACACTTTAACCTCATTATTTGAAGCTCTGGCCATGTTTAACATGAACATCCAACATCGTAACATTCTAGATAAGTCATAAAATGTGGAAAATTATAATAGGTCTCCTTTAATGAATGATCTCTGACAGTCTGGTTAGTTCAGATCAAACAATATTTTGTCTTGAAGAAGAGGCTTCTTCAGCCAGTGAGCATTAACTGGTGATGTTAAGGTCTGATGTAGGGCTGGACGATATGGCCAATAATTATCAATATATTGAAATCGATAATTATCAAGTATCAAATCGTTCTATAGAGTTTAGAGGCTGATTTTTGCTGCTGAGTGAAAGCTGGAAAAACCTGATGGTTAATTGTGGTTTAAACTCCTCTTTATGGTCAACGCGAGTCAAATATGCAGAAGAGAAATTAGGTAAAAGCTTTTTCCAGTCCTTTTTAATCAACTAAATAATCATCTTAATAAAAGTCAAATATCTATTGAATATTTATTGAACATCTGTTATGTTGTTATTGAAAAAAATAATATTGCGATATTTGTTGTAGTCTAAATGAAACGTAGAATAAAAGCAGGCTAAACGTGGGAGAAAGAGGAAGGGTCTTTTAGACGCTCGTATAACCAACCGAAGTTGCCACACTGCTCTAGCACGGCTGAAAAAGAGATAAATCCAGTGTTATCTATAAAACAGAAACAGAAATCTATAGATTTGTGTGAACGTTTTCTGATTCCTGTGTGTCTTTGTGTTCAGGGGAGCAGAGCCTCAACGGGAACATCTATAACTTCCGGCTGTGGGATTACGCCATGACAGAGCAGCAGCTCAGGGCGTTAAACTGTGACACGGTGGGGAACGTCATCGACTGGGACAACAGCTACTGGACCATCCCGTCCACTCTGGCCCAGATGGACGCCACGCTCAACTGCAGTGAGTACAGCAAACAGCCACAGTCTGACCTCAGAGCAGTGGACGCATGTGGAGAACTGATAATCTGATGCACAGACATGCGTAGATAAACACAATCACAAATCTGAAAGCATGTTGTAGAGGTTTAAATGTCACTACAAACCAGACAACTTTTTAAAACGGGTTTTGATATTCATCGTCTTCATAACCTCATGATACAAAAGGTGACAAGTTTTCCACCAAAATACGTGTGGAGAATATGCCCATTGTAAAAACTAATTGAATGTGTTACTTTGTAAGGTTTAAACAATTTAAGTCGTTCAAGTAATTTTGTTTTGCTTTAACACAAATAAAGTATTTTGAAACCAGTCCAAAAAGAAGCTTAAATAAAAGGACTAATTCTATAAATGATAATAAATCTTCATCTAGTGTAAATAAAGTGAAATGTCATCCTTGTCAGATTTTATGAAGCTATTAAAATAAAAAAAAGGCCATTTATTGAATTAGTGAACACTTAAATTAAAACATCTATAAAAGTCATTTCAGTATCAAAGCAAATTATTCACAGCATCTTCATCCATTTATGTTGACATATCAAAATCCAATATGGATCCAGTTGATCTGTTGTTTTCAGTAAAAAATGAAGATGACTATCTTAAGATCATTAAATAGCTATTAACCAAAATACTGTGGTAATATTAGTAAAGCAGTACCTCACTCTGTTGTACCACGCAGGAACTTAAAGTGCTAAATGTTTCAGTCTGTTTGCTATCAGGGTGGAAAATTACAACCAGACTCTGGCAAATTTGACTGCGGCTGGTAAGGTAATTGACTCCAGCAACCAGTTTGGCTGCTGACCAGCCATCTTTCTGATTCCTGCTCTGTTCTAACAACACACACACAGACACTGCTGTATGATCTAAAAAAGGAAATAAGATCAAGTCATGTGCAGTTACAGCATCTTGCTTATTTGTTGCAAGGTTTTTCATAGTGTTTATTAGTACAATTATTAGTACATAAGCCTCTAAAATGCGTTTTACACACACACGCAGATATAAATGGCCACAGACTCTCTTGACACGCTGAAAAACCTGACACCAAGTTTACATAATCAACCTTTTTCTCACCATATTTAAGTATTAACCATGAAAGAAAGTGTAAGAGTACACTGTGTGTGTGTGTGTGTCCACAGAGTTGTACTGTACCTCTTATTTAAAGCGCGGTAAATGAGTGTGCAGCCACAGGAGGTTAGCCACAGAGGTTTCAGTGAAATTCCTGCCAATGTTGTATCCACTGGAGAACAGGCCTGTGTGTGTGTGCGTGCTTGTAGGCCTTGGAGACCTGCAGTGGTTTTCAAGAAATGCATGATTCTGCACGAAGTTTCCTCTCTCTCTCTCTCTCTCTCTCTCTCTCTCTGTCACACACACACATTGTACGACGTACGAAACCAACGCAGGATTGAACTCAGTGTCAGTCTTGTTTTTAATACAGTATGTTGGATTTGATCTAACGGGAACATCACCAAGGTAAAGTCAGTATTAACGAAGCAAAATAAATTGTGCATTACCAAAAATAGACCAGACAGTCGCACGAGATGGAATAACAGACGCATCAGTTTTTGAAAGTTGGGTGCAAGTACAATTTGGTTTTCTGATAATGTACAAGTGTTAAACTGCCTTTGGGCACCGCCAGGAAAGATTAAGCTTCAAGGTAGAAAACAGCAATTCAGTTTAAATTTGACTTTCACATGCATATTGTTTAAATAATACAACAGGTGAATAAATACTTCTACCGGTGCAGCTGTCTTGCTGTAGAGAAGAGAAACGGGCCTAAAACTGTCCTCAAATTTAAACACACTGATTTTGAAATGACTGAAATCAGCTTGTACGATAATCGGTATGGTCATTTTTAATGGTGGATATTCAAGACAGAGGACACACAAACACCTGAGCATCAATAATAGTAGCTGTGACTTTTGTTACATCATAGGCGTCATTTACACTGGGGACTTTTTGAAATGGCTGATTTTGTCCCCATCACTTTTTAACACAAAGTGACTCCCTTGATTTGTACAGTTTTAACATACTTGCAGATAAAATCAGTGGCCAGACTGAGCAGCCAACACGTTCTCACCCCCGACTCATCACATAGTGACGCTTGGTCGAGGCCCCTAGGCGTCGCTTTAACTCCCTGGGTACCCCTTTGCATCATTTTTTGACGTTTAAGGCTCCGTGGGTCAAGGTAGCAACGCTTAACAACAACAAATATACAACGTCCGGTAAGGTTAGCAACAATAAATATGCAACGTCCGGTTAGACTTTCAAAATAAACCTCCTTACTCAGTCTCTTCTGTTAAATATCACATACCTACCTTTACCGTCAAAAACAGGGCTTCCCCCATTGTGTTGAACTATGACCCTGTAGGGATCCCCAGTGCGTTACAAACTGACGCCGATGGGTCTCGACCATGCGACCACATGTGACGAGTCGGCAGTGAGAACAGGTTGGGTCAACAGGAGAACTGGGTGGTAGAGATATATATAATAAATAAATAATAAATGTATAATAAATAATATAGTATACAAGTGCGTTCCTCAGTTCTTCATTAACACGTTTGGCTGACGTAAATGTACTTTTTACCTGAACACGCACAAGGTGACTGAAGATCCCCATGTGCATCTTCTCAGTGTCTATTTCCTGGACCTTCACACAACCTTTATCTTGTGCTTGTCTGGCGTATTGCCTCATGTTCAACCCATTATTCCACGACTGATGAATGACTCATTGCTTATGTTCTGCCTGTCATTAATGAGCTGTGTAATTGATAGTTTGACCTTGCGTCATTTTAATTCATTGTTGCAGTTTTTCTCATTGTGTGTAATTTACCGGCCATTATTACCTGATCGCCTCGTTGACTAATTGACCTCATGTCTTTTAAAAACAGGATTGGATTTTCCCAAAGTGACCAACCGCCTGCATTTTTATTAACTGGTGCTATTTTGACTGATGTCCACTAATCTGTGCTTCTCTTCACAGTCTGCTACCCATATTGCATTCACTTAACCACTGCTGCGCCAACTAGTGGTGAGTGCTGCTAACACCCTGCTAATCTATGTCTGTATACATTTGCTTGTGCTGACAGAGCTGTGATGCATGGATGAGAAAGTGCAAAACTCTCTTTAAATGTCAACTTTTCTGTACGCTCATACGAAACATTTCCTATGCACGTCTCGTGACTGAATTATTTGTTAAGATTGTGCTGTATGTATTGTAGTTTTTAAACCCCTTGTTCACTCAGGAACAACAATGATTCACACGTTCTGATGCACATCGAGCAGCCTCCACTCGTTGCTGCTCATTGTGCACACTGTCAATCATCCCGCTGCACACACTCTGTACATGTGGACGACACGAGTGAAATGGTTTTCACCTCCAGCAAGCTGTCAGTCAGATAAAGTCTTCCTGTCAAAGTGATGCAGGCCGTGCAGCAATGTGACCCTAAAGCTACAGGTGACAGGCGGTTACCAGATTATATAAACACAACAACTCGACCGTATCAACAGATGTGAACAGAACTTAGAACAGGTCGTTGCTCTCCAGGTGGAGAAGCCAACAGTTCATAGAGTTTGATGAAACCAGCGCTGATTATGTCTATTAAATCTGAATAAGATAGATTATTTATTTAATATTTAAGTTACAATCAGAAATGTTGTTGCGTTGCTATTTGCCTTATAAAAGAGAAATTAGGCTTCATGAGAGATCTTTTAGACAAATGTTTAAACAATTAAGAACCAAATGGAACCGGTTATCACCAACCAACCAACCTACAATGAAAGATGTCTCACAGGTGGGGTGTTACAACATTTTGAGGAGCGCTTCGCCTCTGGAGAGATGAGACCTGGGAAGGTATCATACTGTCTAAATCAAAGCAGATTCCGTTTGCAGCAGCAGGTGCGCCGCAGATAGAGGAGGCTCGTTAACGATGTAGCCTATCGAAACGATCAAAACCAACGTGGTAGCTAAAGAGTGGCATCTGCACTGGTGTGTTCACTGTCACTTTACCTGGTCCGTGCCTGTAAAATGTCCACTGTGTCGGCATCTTCTAACGTAATAGAAAACATCTCTCTCTCTGTGTTTCTCTGTGAAATGCAAAGATTTGGTGGTGATGGCGCAGTGGATAAGAATCATGCCTTTACTGTGAGATACCCAGGTTCAATTCCCTGCTGTGACTCATCCACCAATGTGTCCCTGAGCAAGACACTTAACCTGCAGTTGCTCCAGAGGCGTGCGACCTCTGACATGTATAGCAATCGTAAGTTGCTTTGGATAAAAGCGTCAGCTAAATGAATAAATGTAATATAGGTCGCCAAATGTACCCGGGCGGCCGTTTATATACCTGTACCTTTCTTTTTCTTGATAAGAAAAAAACAACCAGTTGAAAGGTCACCTGACTCCGCCTGCCTACAGTCTCGACCATCGGATTCCAGCAACAGGAAATAAAGTTACTCTTTTACTCATGGATTAGTTTTTCTGGTGCCGAAATGTTTCTCGTGTTGGTGAATTATTAAAAAAACAAAACACCTCTTAATTGCGGGTTAAAATGCGTTGTAACGCACTTTGCTGAGATTGTAACAGGTATAATATTACCAAATTCTTTTGTAGTAATGCATTATATTACTGCGTTACAGCAAAAAGCAATACATTACTGTAATTACTCCCAACACTGCTGACCGTCCGCCTAATGTGCATTTTGAGATCCGATCACAATGCAGGCACAAGATAAAAAGAACTTAAATCCAGGACCCTTAGATCAGGATACTTGTCATGGTTAGTGGTGGTCAGTAAACGCATCTACAGCTAAAACACAACATTTCTTGACAGTTTCTTTTTCCTTTCAGTAGCAGCGTGATTAGACATTGTTTTTATGCAGCCTATGATGGTGGCCACCTGGACAGCTGAGACAGGACTGTAGACGTTTACATATTTAGGGTGTTTAAGCTCATTTGGGAGGTTTGATTTTA